TACCCAGACATTCTTGTGGGACCTCTGTTCATAAGCAGACCCACGCGTATTTTCACAACACACACACACACACACACATATCCAATCACTTTTAATCTACAAATAAATGCAAACTTTGAATTCACGTAACAAGCAATATAAGATTAAGAGTTTGTCTTTCACCATGTGTATGCTGCGTGTGTGAAGCTGGCAAGTTGAGATGATGTTGCAACCATACAAAAAAGACCTTATACTCCACCAATAAAAAAGGACACAGCCATTAGGTAAATAGTTAGTAATTAGTAAATTAATTTATTTTTATACCTATGTGGTAAATATACATTGTATATCGACTCGGTTAATGGGCATTGTGTATCTGTACAGTATATATACCTTTTATACCTGCATGGTAAATACTGTATATTGCATACCTGCATTATAAATATACAATGGATACTTTTACGGTAAATATACATTGTATACCTGCATGGTAATTATACATTGTATACCTGCAGTCAGAATATTGTACGTGCTGAACTGTATACCTGCAGTGTCTAACTGTATACAGGCTGGATCAATATAAACTTGTACAATGATTTTACTTTTGAATATATCTGTCATTCCGTCTGTTTTCACTTCCTACATATCTTAATCTAATTCAATTTATTCTTGCTGCTTTTGTTTAACACATAAAACAAAAACAAAATCTAGTGAATTAAAGTGGTTATCCCTCCGAGGTTAAGTTTTCTATTACACCGACAGGAAGAACACGAACCCCACCACCAAACCCAAGCACAAAACATACTCTTCCACTTTGTTAGCCACTTGGGCGGTCGGTCACGTCTTTTGTTACACTGTTGGCAAGTTCTGGTCAAGGGCATGTACTGGGCAAGGGCATGTACTGGTCAAGGGCATGTACTGGCTCCTGAATGCATCTATATCTGCGCCAGTGTTGGTCACATTCGTCACGTTACCCTGGGGCTGCTCTGATAGATTGTTCCAAGTTCACAATTCCCATTTCTAAAAAAAAATCATGAACTATGTAACAAATAGCATTGAATCGGGAGCCCCTGAAGATATTCTGGCAGTTTATCCCACATTTGCTTGTCAACACTAATTAATCCTCAATTAGGTCATTGATAACTATCCTACTCTATCTCGTGAGTGGCATTACCGCATTGATTAGTGATAGTATCCTCGGTGTCAAGATCTTTACTAAACTACCTAGATTATGGAACATTTTACCTAAAATTTTCAAATAATAATTAAAGTTTTTAAATTAAATACGTGACCAGTGGCTGAGAGGATGAAGTGGTGCGGTGTTGAGGATTCAGTAGTGCAAGGTTGTGACTCACTAGTGTACGCAGCTCTCACTCTTCTCTCACTCTTCTCTCTTACAGGTGGGTACAAAGACTAATATCCATTGTGCCAACTAACTACCGGGGTGAAACAAAAGGTGTGAGTGTTTGTCTGTATAGTTTAGTATATAATTGGCCCCTCCTCGGTTGTATTCTAGGAAATATAATAGAGTTAATCAGTCAGTGGTCTCGACTCGTCCGCTCCTCCTGAAATGCGAAATGCAGTTCAACTACAACATGTAATTTAAAGCTCTGTATTTTAGTATTATATTTCCGTTATGAAAATATAAAGTTAAGTATAATTAGTTATTAACTCTTTAAGGGATAGTGTCCTCCTTAGTTATTTTATTCTGGCTATTTTGGAATCAGCTTGTTTTTGCACTTCAGGAGTTGTATGACTGGTTTAGAATTAATTTTAACCTTCAAATATAACCAGATGGTGATAAAGGGGTAGGAAATAAAGTTAATCACTTCACTCATTTATTTAACACAAAAATAATGGTTATAACAGGTAAAAAAAAAACAAAGACCATATAAATTCATTCCATTTACCTCTCCCTTACTTTCCATATAAAATATTTTATTGATTCTATATTATTTCTACATTTATATCCATCTTTCTTGGGTATCTGTATATTTTAAACGAAAAATAATTAATTCTTGATAGATTTTCGTATTTGTATGACACCTTACCAACTGACCTAGAATTGTGCTCACTATTTGTAGATTCAAGTCATACAGAATTAAATGCAAGTCTCGTCCCCACAGTACTGCACAGCACAACCTGGTCTAGCTGGACCCATTTTTACTTAACTGACCTATTCTAACCAAAGCTAACCAATACCAAATCTATCCTATGCTAATCTAACCAACCTATGCTAATCTAAATTAACCAACCAATACAAATCTAATCTAGCCAACATATGCTAATCTATCCTAACTAATCTATTCTAACATAACCAATCTATTTTAATCTAATCAATCTATTCTAACCTAATCAACCTATTTTAACCCAGTCAACCAAATCTATCCTAATTAACCTTACAAAACACACCTCCTATAATTTGACCTATCCAACATATTCTAACTTAACCTATCCAACCTACTCTAACTTATCTAACCTAGGCAAGGTAACCAGTCCAACTAAAAGTACTGGTATGAAAGTTAACCTACAGAACCTACTCTTAACTAATGTACCAAGCTAATCCGATTCTCACAACCTTAACTTAACTTAACCTAACGTACCTACTCGACCTACTACTGTAACATAACATACCCACCCTTATTTAACTGAATCTAACCTAGCCCAACTAACCCATTGTAATTCAACTTAACCTAACCTATTCTCAACTTTCCCACCTATACTAACACCGGATAATGATGGTCCATAAGAACGAACAGTTAGTGTTACCTATCCCATATTACCCAACTCTGTTCAACCAAACTCACCCAACCCAACTTGACCTAACTTACCCTACCTCAATAAACATAACCAATACAAACACCTCAGTCGCTAATTATTGTGAAGTCGGGTTAATGAGGAATAATTGTACTCCTTGAAATCATTGTCAATAGATGGTAAGGTCTTTTTTTTTCTTTTTTTTTCATTATTTACAGGTCAATGCCCATCTTTTCCAAGGACAGGGGTGATGTGATAGCGGTGCATTTGATTATTGTCTTCTTCTTCTTCCTCAACAGTAGCCAGAACAATGTCACATATGGTGTGGATGGTGACTCTGGCCACCCTGGCACTGTGTGCTGGATGGTCTGACTTGAATTCTCTCGGTGAGGACCCAAGCTTGATGAGGGATCGGGAACAAGCGCTATTTAAGGTAAGGAACGTTATTTGTGCAAAATCTTCTGTTGCTCATAAATATTGTCAACTGACGATGGGATATTAAATAATTTTAAGTAAATTACTGTAAATATTTGTAAAGGAAATATTATAAGACAAAAATATTAGTTCTATAGTTATGACTTTACATAATTGGTGTAAGAAAAAGATTTTTTTATTGTATTATAATGAAAGGAAGTCAATCAGTCCTTTGTAGAGTAGCTCCTCTGTACAGGGTGATGCATAACCTTAGTTGCTGAAACCGCTTACAAAATTAAGTAGAAACAGCTTTATTTTTTTATGTTATGAGATGGCCAAAAGGGGTGCAGGTGCTGCAAGCTTTGATATATTGTTAAGCTTGATAAATTCATGAGTAAATAACATTAAAGTTATTAAAATGTGAAGTACAGTGCATTATAGAACCAGATAATAAAATAATGCCTGCTCTAGTTTACCTGGCAGCCACCACACCTATCAATGGCCCTGTTGGGGAGAGGTGGCTCGTGGGTTGTTCAGGCTCTCCTCATTAAAGTAGTTACGTGTGAGAAAACTATCATAAGTAACTAAATTTATTATTGATACTTTTCTGTAAGCAAAAATCAACTAGAACGTACAGTACCATGAAACAGACTATCTACTGTTCCTTTACTATGAAAAGAGAGATTCCACTTAAGCTGTCTTCTCAATCAGATGGAATGTTTCAAGTCTTTCAAACAGTAGGTTCATTTGTAAACATTGCTCGGGCTAAGTGAATTACATATTTTACAACATTCACTGTAAGGAGTCCTGCCCCCCTCCTACGACTCTCTTCTGTACTACAATATTATCATTTATCATCTGCTTTATACTGTTCTGTGATCACATCTTCCTCTGGGATGCCGCCTTGAAGCTTTTATGGCATTACATAACAAGAACCAATATAACCCAACTTAATGATTTCAGATAATTTTCAGAATGGATTTGGTTCGTTAGCTTATGTTGGTTCATGTCATCTGCTGATACTAATTTATCATATGCTGTGATGAAGTTTGCAATGTTGACATACTGTATATTATATTTTCAAGTTCATATCAACAGGAGCATAGTTTGGCTGCAGCACACTAAAACAACTTTGAGGTCTTCATTGAGATAAGACGCTTACTTGTTAACAGCAAATCTAAACTTTTATTTTTAAGTTAAGCTTTTATTATTCTAACCTTATATAACCTAACCTATAAACCCAACTTAAAATATAAAGCCAGATCTGAAACCTAAGATGGATAAGTGTGTTTGGTCATAGTTGTCATCTTTCAGTGTGAAAATCTAGCCATAGTAATGTTGGTTGTGTTATTCTAGCAGTTGAATATTTTTTACCCCAGGTTGGTTTTGTAGGTTGGTATTTTCTGAGTTGTTTTTTGCATGAAATATCTTTATCATATTAATTTAGGCATTGTAACAAAATCTATACATGAATCAACAATCCAACCTTTATTAATTATTCTTAGGTTGTGACATATTGCTTAGGTTAGGCTGATTCTGGTCACCATTTTCCCATTAATATTTTAGCTGTGTTGCTTCCCTGGGGGGGGCAAGAACACTCCTGCTGCAGGGAACTTGTTCATCTTAGTCATTGTATATATACCATATCTTTTATGTCATCTGTGTACCTTCTTCAATTTACATCACCATTCTGAAGACTCTTGTGTTGGTTGAACTAACATGTAATTGAATCGTTTGTCTTTTTTGCTTTTCAGTTTACACATTGTTATACTGTACTAACAAGTGACCGAGTCAGAGGAGATAAACCAGTTACGTTAGGGTGATTGATAATGAATTGATGAGGTGAGACATAAATGAGTACAGTATTTTGATGTAGAAAATCTTATAAGATGTACAGAGCGACATTTATGGTACCAGTTGTTTTAATTGTTTAGTCATTTGATGCATGGGCTATGGCATATTCTTCTTTACACCAAGTTAGAGTAAAGTATTATAATGGGGGAGAGTTGTGGTAGATCCTACTTGAGAAATGACCCCGAGACATGCAGAGTAAAGATGAATAGGCCTAAAAGGTGAAGGAAAAGAAAGGTAGATTTGTGAAGTGTGTGAGAATGAGCAGAAGAAAAAGAACTCAAGTACTTCAGAAGGTAAGATCTGTGCTTCACTTCCCTAATATTGAAAGACAGTTTTATGATTTATTATTATTCTTTTTATCTAGTAATTGGTTGCCTGTGCTTTATTATATTTGTTTGATTATATTTTAAAGGTTGTGTTGCTTCATCTTCTTGTATAGTTTAGAATAAAGTAGAGATGTAGATACAAAAAGCTGTTCTTGCTCATAGTGTTATGCTGTACAGTACAGTAGAGAGTATCTCCAGACACAAAGATTCTTCACCTTTGACAAGTGAACACTGCTGATAATACATTTATAATATATTATCTTTTATGCTCTAGGAGGAAGTTGACAGTGGTGTGGGCGTTCACATTGCAACTGACGACAGATCATCCAACTCTTCACTTGATAAAGAAAACAAAACTGAAGTATCAGATATTAGTTTCTTGAATGCCTTTGTTGCTGCCCTGAGTATGATAGTGGTGACTGAACTGGGTGATAAAACATTCTTCATTGCTGCCATTATGGCAATGAATCATCCCAGAATAACTGTGTTTTCTGGAGCTGTATTTGCCTTATCTGCAATGCATATTATATCAGGTGAGTTCTTCTAAATTAATGGACCTATCTGTAGACAAGTTTAAGAATTAAAAGTTGCAGCAGTTAACTGTAGAAATGTTCATAACTCTGATGTAGTAAAACATCTTATTCTTGTCACCTTCTTGATATTACTATACAGTGCTTAAACAGTTGTCTTTTAATAGACACATCTTGTACAGTGTCTGTCATGCGAGTGATTAACGGCATAACATGATCATTAAGCTCTTGTATTGTGCAAGTACAGTAATAAGCATGTCCAAACTGGATGGTGTACAGTCAAGGACAAAAGTTCACTCCCAGCGGTGAACCCGAGTCACAGGACTGAGTCTCCGATCTGACTTACCCTGACTGTTTCATCTCATTTGGGGTCGATGCTGCTTCATTTTGGGCGGGAGCTAACTTTTGACCCCGACTGTACATAAGCATTGCAATGCATGAGAATACATTACCAAGCCAAGAACAATAATCATTTGTTCTCAGCTGCACATCTTATACTTGTCACCCTCTTGATATTTCAATGCTTGGACAAGTTGTCTTTTAATAGACACATTCTGTACAGTGTCTGTCATGTGGGGCCACCATGAGTGATAGACGACATAATATGAAGATTGAGTACTTGTATTGTGCAAGTACAGTTATAAGCATGTCCAGATTGGATGATGTACATAAGCATTGCAGTGCATGAGTGTACATTACCTAGCCAAGAACAATAATCATGTTTGCTCTCAGTGTGTACATTTTGTTTGATCTGAGTTTCAATCTTTCTTCATGTAATAGTTGAGCTTTGTATTATGAGGTCTACGTATTGTGTGTCTGAATGTCTTTTGTATATTCCCAGCTTTGTTTGGTTATGTCATTACTTGGATCCCCCGTCTTTACACTTTCTATGCCTCAAGTGCTCTTTTTGCCATCTTTGGTTTAAAAATGCTCTATGAAGCCTGGAAAATGAAGCCAAATGAAGGACAAGAAGAACTTGAGGAGGTGCAGTCAGATATAAGACGCAGAGAAGATGATGTAAGTATCTCTCATAATGGCAGTTTAGTCAACTTCCTTTTCCAAATACTTTTTCTACAACAACAGATTACTCAACTCGTATACAGTACTAACAACAAGTTTACAGCCTGACCGCTATATTTCCCAGGATTCCTAACAAGTGCAATAAACCTTTCCCAGTGACCTCTCCCTGTGGATATGTTATAATTATTCATATTAAACATTATTCACATGAGGGTTATTGATCTCTTGAACCAGAACTAGGGTTGTTGTTAGTAATATGTCATAGGTCACTCATCTCTTACAGTAGCTAAAGAAATGGTTATCTGTACTTCAGTCATTATTACTCCCTGGTAGACACACACTAGAGGCAAAGTGGAAATACTTCTTAACAACAAGAGAGAGATATTAAATACAAAAGAATATGCAGTAAGCCTTTTTGATGCCAGTGTTTAGGAGAACTTTCCTGATATGTAAAGGGGAAAGATGTGTTGAATATTGATGGAAGATGCCACCTGAATATCTTAAAGAATCTTGTAGTGGTTTAGAAACTGTGAAGGATTAGATGATACAGTTGACTTTGTTTAGAATAATAATCCTTTTGAGATAGAATGAGAGATGTTATGTTTAGTTAAGAGACACCTGGAGCTTTGAAAAAAAAAGCAGTATTGGATATTTTTTTTTTTTTTTTTTAGAGGAGTGAGGTGACATGATGTGTGTTATAGCAGGTAGAAAGTAACTGGTACATTGTTTTGATTAGTAATTGTTGAAGTTAAGGCCTTTAATCTCTTATCTCATTACTAGAGGATTTAATAGTAAGTTATGTTTGTTAGTGAAGAAGCTTGTTAAATTATAGGAAATATCCTCATCTTTTTGTTTGAATGAAGTAAAGGTTTACATTGTTCAGGAGCTGCCATATTGTTTCAAAAAATTCTCAAATATATACATCTTTTAAGTTACATTATTATGCTTCTGACAGAATGTTCAATATTTTTTCGCAGCATCGACGAGAACCTGCAGAGGAAGTTTCAGTGGCAGTAAGTTCACTCTACTGTCTTTCATTTTGTGTTTCATCACTTTAGAATTCAGTAAAAAATCCAGGTACTGTATACCACTTCAGATATGTTTACTCCAGTCAAGGGCTTAGTTACAATGACTTTTACTAATGGAGGGCAGCAGTCAAGTGGATACAGAGTTTGCCTCCTGTTCTGAGGGTCAGTAGCTCAATCCCTAAGCATTCCCATACCACCCAGCTGTGAATGGGTATTTACACTGCCCCTAGCAGGCAGTCATGCCTATGTGACACACACTTTTTGCTACACTGAGAACACACTCCTTACATTATGCCATCAGTTATGTTGAATAAAAAAACCATCACTATCCTGTCTTGGGGTTTCTGGCCTATTCATTTTCTGGTTATCTTAGTCAGAATTGTTGTCTTTTTTTCTTCTCTCCTCTGTCTCCTTCCTCCCTGGGCTGTCTCCTTTGTGAAGTGTTTTTGTCTGGATGCCAGAACCGGTGTTCTTGTTCTGTTTTTCTATTAATGTACTTCTGGTTCGTGAGGTGAGTATTTATCCTTATGTATGTAAGGCAGCTTCTAATGGGTGGCCTTTAGGTAAATAAGGTAAGGTATGTACTGTACATCATGTGATTCACTCAGACATCCAATGGGAGATTAAACAAAAAATCCCTGCCACTGCAAATTTAAAAAAGAAATGTACAGTACAAGCTAAACAAAATACTCATTCCCAGATTTTTACTTATACTGTATATCCCTTAGGTACTGCTGGCAGGTTGTTACCTTCCTCTGGTAGTTGTTCTAACTGTGGCTTGGAATTTGCATGGTGTTTGGTAAACAAAGAATAAGGATGCTGTGATGTGAAGTGAATTTGATTGAGCATGAAACCATCATGGCTCTGCCTGACATCACTCAACCTGTAGGACATGACAAGCTTCATCACTGTTGTTCTGGCGGCAGAGTGAGAGCCTCAGTCACTGACTTACTTATTATGATATTATTCTGATATAATTTTCTCTTTCTTTATTTCCACAGTACACACCAAATTCTCAAGATGGCAGTGAAGTAATAGTAAGTTTGCCCTTGTATTGATGTCAAATATGTGGCTGGTGGGCAGTGCAGCTCTATAGTATTGAGAAACATTATTTAAAGCTGTCCTCAGTTTCATCCATCTTTCTTTATTCATGAACTGACACTACATATAGGACAGTTGATAGTTGAAGACCCTCCCCGAGTACAGTATGTGCTCTCTAATTATATACCGTATTTTACGGCATATAAGATGCACTTTTTGTCTGAAAAATGGCCCTCAAAAATCAGCCTGAATCCTATATGTAATGTTGCGGTCTCCCTCACGCTAATGAATCCCCCAGCTGCTGTCTCCAGTAGGCTAAATTCTACCTTACCCAATTCCAAGATTAAAAATATGTTATTGCTTACTTAAACACATTATTATTATTTATAGTTAATTAAAAGTAATTATTGTAAATATAAAAGGTCAATCCATAACTACTCTGTACTGATGATGATAACCTGAGACTATTAACGTCCATCCAGCAGACACCCAACTCTTCAAAGGTAGCTAAACAGTAACCATTTCTGAACTCTTACAAGCATTAAAATCTACTAATGCCATACCTGCAACATTTATTTCACACTCTACAAATAGTACCTGATACAAATGAGGATTAACTTAACTTTCTTTTCACACTTACATCTCTTAACATTGCTGGCGGCATTGTAGCCAGGTTAGACCCGTCTCTGTAACCAGGCTACTGGGCCAAGCTGTTGTTTTTTGACTCGTATTTTTGGGTAGATATACCTGTACATAACTTTCTTCATTTACAGTGTTTTTACTGATATAAATGCACACACTATTCCACATACATATTGTGAAAAAGTAAAAGAAATAATTGTTCTAAGGACAAACACATTAAAGGAATATACAGTTCTTTGCACACAAGTTACCCGGTAGCTGGTTTAGTGGGAGGATGGCTGGGTGGTGGGGGGAGCATTACGAGGGTATCGGTGAGGTAGCGTCGCCATTACAATGGTAAACAGGGAGTACAGTACAGTACTGTACAGGTATATGCAAATGGCGACTGTGTTAAACTTTCATTTGGCTTTTATTTACCTGTACTGGTTTGGCAATACAGTATTTTTTGTTGTAACTTATTGGTATTATTTTTATTTATTCCTCACATTTACTGGTACTGTTTATATTGTTTTAAGAAAACTATGAATACAGGAAGAAAATACACATAATTTTTTTTTCTTATATACTCCCTGCTATATGGACATGCGTCTAATATGCCATAAAATTGGCAATACAGTACCTGTACTATTTATCTGTGTACAGTACTGTACTGTATTTCTCCTCATTAAGTTTCTTTCTCTCTCCCCCAACTATGAAATCATTGGCCTTTTCCATCATTGGGTACAGTACTGTATTCTGTTCTTGTTATTCTTCTCATGATTAATAATTTGGTTACATCTACGTATAAAAACAAAAATTGTCTTTCCATGCTGAAAGGTCTTGTATGGCAAGTTCCTCCACTAAACATTGGTGGTTTTTTTTGTTTTTTTTAGCAAACCTTCAAAGTTTTGTGTCTCTGGGGACCCAGATTTTAATTTCATTCATCCATCCCAGTCTCTGCCTTCCCCTGGTCCTCCTACCCTCAACTTTGCCCATTAATATTTCTGTTATTATCCTCTCATCCCTAATTATATGACCAAATTATCTAATTTTTTCTCAAGTATTTCTCTAGAAGTTTTTCCTAATCTTACTACTTGTTCATTTTGTTTCCCTGGCAGTGTAGCTTATTCTTAGCTTTCACCTATCACCACATTTCAAAGGCCTCCAACCTCTTTCTGGTGTCTGCTGAAAATGTCTACACTTGTGACCCATACAATAGATATAAATAGTTCATTTCAAGCTATAGGATACAACAGATAAGGAATAGTAAGCAAAACCTATTAGTCTTCACAGCTGTTTGACTCTTGTATAGTACTGTACACTGTAGTCTAAGCAATGCTCTACGTTTCTAAAAGTGAATTTGTTGAGTTTGTTTACGACCAGCTGAATATTGTACTCTACCTTTTTAACTTTATTTATATTTACTTATATCAATAAAATATTATTCTATGTTTAAATAGCTTTTGAAATTAATGTCTGTATAGTACTGTATTAATCAGATTAACCCAAAGATTTGAGTTAACAGTCGCTAAATGTTATTTTTGTCACACATGCATTCATACGATATATTCAGTGTGTTGGTTGATGGTCCTGCCACAGCATTCGAGGTCTTGATGATCCTTTTCAGCAACTTAACTCGGCTGCTTTCTGGTAGGTCAAGGATAACAGATGGATGACCCCAGGGAAGAAAATATCCATTTTTTGAGAATCTACAGTTTTCTGATACCTGGATTTGAGAGTATGGAACTATTCATTGAAGGAGAAAGTATTGTATGCCTTCATTTACAGGTTCACAGAGATAATCATTCATTGCATTAATTATTGTAGATATTCCTTGACTGTGTTGTTTTGTTTTCTATACTGTTCTGTAGTTTCAAAGGGAAACAGTAGAAGAAAGTGGAACGGGAACAAGACGTGTTGGACGATCCACGGAAGAAGGTGGAACAGGAACAAGGCGCGTTGGACGCTCCGCTGAAGAAGATGGAACGGGAACAAGACGTGTTGGACGCTCCACTGAAGAAGGTGGAACAGGAACAAGGCGCGTTGGACGCTCCACTGAAGAGGGTGAAACTGAAACAAGACAAGGTGATGGTTCAACAGAAGATACCGAGGTTGAAACACTGCGAGGTGGATCCATAGAACGTTTATTTGCAGTCCACTCGCGGGTGTTCCTTCAGTCCTTTACTATGACGTTCTTGGCTGAATGGGGTGATCGTTCCCAGATTGGTACTGTTGTTATGGCAGCAAGAGAGGTAAGATAATTTTTATATTACATATGTCTTAGTTAATAATTATTTTGTTGCCATCTAGAGGTGCCCAGTAAGGAAGTAGCAGTGCTTTGTTACTTTACTCAAGTAACTTTCAGAAATCTTTGAGTATTGTACTTAAAAGTACTTTACATTTTTTGTATGTTTACTTTTCCTTGAGTAACTTTTCAGCTAAGGTAATGTACTTTTACTTCGTAACTTTTGTACAAGTCGTCTTGTTACACTTCAAAGTGCTTGCCATGGGTTGAATCTGGATAAATCAATCAAACCATTATATTTAATGTGAAAATATCATACGCTCGTGGCTACTGGTGTAATCCCTTGATGGGCCATTTGTCAGCAGTGTTCAGTACTGTACCAAGATTAGTGACCTATTAAAAGATCCCTCTTGAGAGCCTAAGGCCTGACATTCACCGTGGTCAGAGTCCTGATCACGTCACTTGATGCTCCTATAAAATCCTCTTCTTTAACTGATCTTGTCCCAATAACCTTGTTACACACTTAAAGAACTTATTTGTTGAAGTGTAGTAATATCACTATAACATTTATTATGTCATATCTGAAGACGACTGACGGTTACAGTAAAAAGTACAATGTTCTTGATTTTCTGTGCTTAATTTTCTTTTACAGTGAAAGGAACACCAAGAAAATCACAAACATCTTAGTAAATTTGCATCATTAGTTCAATGTTGGTTTGGTTTTTGTATGTATGCATAGATTGTATTTAAAGATAATATACAGTACAGGTATACAGTGAGTTCTGCTATAACGCGTGTTTTGATAACGCTAATTTGCTCTAACGCGATTTATGAATTCGGAACAATATTTGTATAACGCGATCGCTTGTTTGCTATAACGCGATTTTTGCTTACTATTTCTCCAATTTTGTGGTATTAACTGTGAATATGGTAAAGAAGAATATCTCCAAAAAGCATTCTGATGATAGAATTCCCGGTGATTATCGTAAAAGAAAGGATATAACACTTGAAGAGAAGCTTGATGTTATCAACCTCAAAATCACCCTTCTCCCCCATCAAGTTACATTCATATTTTTTCAAGGTAAAGTGTTAAATTTACTGTATGATTTCATTATTAGATATGAATGTAACATTTATTTAGACTGTGCTATCCTTTGTGTTAGGCTAACTACTAAATTTTTTCGATTTCGAGTAATCTGCACCTAACCCTATTTTCTCCATAAGCCCTGTTATTTCTATTACGCGATTTTCTATAACACGATATTTTACAAGAACACAATTATCGCTAAGTAGCAGAACTACCTGTATTAATTTTATATATAATAGTACAGTGTTATAAAGTCTGTTACTTTTTGACTGAGGTGGTCTCCAGTGAGGCTACTTTTTGCTTGTATTTCAGTAGCTTTTTCCCCTGTAACACTACTTCTACCTCAGTAACATTTTCCAATACAGTTTGCCCTGCTGTTAGCATCTGCACAACTCTACAGTATATGAGTATTGATATAGTCAGTGTTCTTCTGAGGACCTAATAGGTTGACGTTGTCTTCTAATGCGAAGAATTTTTTTACAAAAATCATTTAATTTCAGTTCTTATTCCAATAATAATAATTACCATCATTTTTCAGAATGTGTACGGTGTGATTGTTGGTGGACTGCTGGGGCATATTTTGTGCACAGGACTTGCTGTAGTTGGTGGGCGCTTAATTGCAGCCAAAATATCTGTCAGAACAGGTGAGGTTAAGGATGTTTTAAATAATACCACTTGTGAGGAAATTATAAACTTGTTATAACTGTGTACAGTAAGATTCTGCTTAAATAACACTGTTCCGACTTACGAACAGGAACAGGTACGTAAACTGTTCGTAACTTGAGGACTGCTTGGTACAGTACTTACACATAACACTTTACAGTTTGAAACATTCACATTAGTGAAAATGGTTGTTGACAACCAGACATATAACTCATTTTCTTGAAACAGTCCAGATAAGCAAGGTTATGTCCAGACCACCTCCCATAGATTCACTATTTCAGAGTGGGGTCTGTAGTCTGCCCCAATTACCTTATTTACCTAATAGTAACCTGCTAGACGTGGCCATGCTGAGGGAAGGAGGCCAGTGGCCTGTGTAGGATCTCTCCATGCCTCCTTCCCCTGACATGGTCACCTCTAGTAGGTTACCAATAAGTAAAAGGTAGTTGGGACATGACCACCTCTAGTAGGTTACCAATAAGTAAAAGGTAGTTGGGACAGACCCCAGACCCCACTCCAACAAAAGTGAATCTATGGGTAGGGGTTTGGACATTACCCTGCTTATCTGGACTGTTTCAAGGTATTACTGTTTCTGTATTTTCGTGAACATCTGGAAAATATTACTTGCTTTCATGTCTTCCTGAAGGAAAAAATCCTACACTAATTCTTAAAATTCTTCTTTTTTCAGTAACTGTTATTGGTGGCATTATCTTCCTGGTATTTGCTGTATCTTCCCTGATTATTGGTCCCTGAAAAAATACTTTGCCAGATCTTGTAATATAAACTGTTTGTATAAACGTTTTTCTTGTATATTATAAGACTGTAAAATCTATGGTAGTATACACTTTTAGGTTTATGTAATGATTAAACTTTACTTAAATTTTACTTTACTTTAACCTCTTCACCACTGGTCAGTCTTTTATCCACTTGGGCGGTTGGTCACTTCTGTTACACACGGTTAGCAAGTACTGGACATGTCCAGAATGTATCTGTACCTGTGTCGGTGTTGGTTAAGTCTGGTCTTAAATGAGAATAAAAGTAAGTTAAATTACCACATTCAGTGCTGGGTTAATATTCGTTTTACCACATGACCTTGAAATGATGGTTTGAATCCTACAAAAAAAAAATTAAATAACACCAGACAAACCATCTTTCATGCCAAAGTCCAAGTTTAATATTTTATTATGAGTAATTACCCAGTGCTGTATTTAAATAGGTACTGAAAACTACTCCTAGATTGTACTTTATATAATGTTAATATATGATACATTTGTAACAGGTGCTTGGAAGGGTTGCACACGCTAAATATTACGTATTTGAGAGATAAAACATTGAAATATCTTTGTCCAGACTAATATAGAGTCAATGGAGAACTTGTTCGCTCAGTTATCCCACCAGTAGATATAATCTTATATTTTGTTTTTCAACTACAGTAACCCATTATAATGTACATATTATCAGAACTAATATGAATGAAAATTTAAGTGAGAAAATATTTGGATTCTAAAGTTGATTCTAGGTGTTTCTATCAAGGGTACCTAAGTCTATATCAAATACTGTACGTAATTCCTTTTGTTTTTGCATTACCAGTGTCAGTGTGAGGATCATGACTAGATAAGGTATCTTTATTTGCAGATAACATAACTTACCGGAGAGAACTGCTGAAAAATGGTTAACCCTTAATGTAGAGCCTATTAAGGGTGACTGTGGTAAGTACAGTAGTATGTGTGTTAAAGATCGTTCGTATGTTGGGAATTAATTATTGATACAAGTAAAAAAATGATAAGTCAAGATAAAGGTTTAGAAGAGGGTAACCATGTGAAAAACCATATTGTTTTATTTTTTTTTTTATTGCAGAAATGTTTTGATATTGATTAATAATTTCAATATGAGAAATGTGTGCTGTTTACCTAGCCAATCCAATCTGAATCTTGATACAGTCTACCTAATCAGCATATCCTGACCTAGTTTTATTTCCTCTTTCGAAATACAGTACTGAACTGCAATTCAAAATTATCTGAAGCAAATAGGAAAAAGTTAGGAGTTTAACTGTGTTTAAAGTAAGCTCATTCTTTAAAAGTACTTGTGCTTAGTTTCCCATTTACTACAACCATAGAAACTGTTGTAATATACTACAGTACTGGTAAATATTTCAGAGACTTATGGCTTATAAAATAACTAAGATTTATTGTTTTTAGAAAATATTCAACTATTTTGGAAAACTAAACTTAATTTCTTATTTTTCTTACAGTATAATACAGTACACATAGGTATAGTACCAACGTACTGTACTGTAGAGTCAACAACAGAAAATTGTCCCGAGCCAACCTGCAAGGTAAGAGACAGGTGATCTGGCATTGAGAAGAGTTGACGGATATACCCCAAGTGGCCAGCTATCCTGAGATTTATGATTGGAGGTTGCCCAAGAACACATTTCATGTACAAAACCTAATTGGCATCAATACATAAAATGTGGGATAACAATGTTATTGAGAAATATATGACATTACTACAGGAAGCCTGTTGGCACCAGTCACCATGTAATGCAAAGAATCTTCCTGCATTTGAGGAAAGATAGTTTGACACAGCGCTGACCCACATATGAACTGTTTTCGGAAGAGGTTACAGTATAAGACATAAATTGTAAAAGCTAAAGGTAGCCCTGACTTTATACATCCTGGAGTGCTAAGAGAGTTGTACAGCGAGCTTGCTGAGCCCCTTAAGGTCCTGTTTTGTAAATGTCTGGATGAGCAAAAGGTCCCCAGTGACTGAAGAATGGCTGATGTGAGTCCTATATTCAAGTAGGGCGACCATCACTACACAAATAACTATAGACCGGTGAGCCTGACCAGCTTAGTGTGTAAAGTATGAGAGAGCATTATAAGAGATGCCATGATGGAACATCTGCCAACGTGGTTTTATGTCGGGATGCTCCTGCTTGACACAGTTACTCAAGGTATTGGATGTTTGGACTCGAATTCTGTAACAGGATGGCAATATTGACAATATACCTGTATTGCCAAGGCATTCGACAGCGTACACCATGAAAGGCTGAGAATTGAACTTGAAGGGTACAGGATTTGGGAAAAGTCTTGGCATGGATCAGAGACTGACTTTCATGACTGCAAGCAGTGTGTGGTAATTAATGGCACTAAATGGTTAGATGTTACGGATACCACAGGGCAGTGTATTGGGCCTGTTGGTGTGCATTTGTTTCACAAATGACATGACAGAATCTATTCACTCCCCCTTACAAATGTTTGTGAATGATGCCAAGTTATTCAGGGAAATTAAGAACCAAACAGACTGAGAAGAGTTACAGAAAGATCTCTATCAGCTTCAAGAGTGGTTGAAGAAATGGCTACTAAGATTTAATGTCACAAAGTTTAAGAAGATGCACCTTGGTCGTACGAACAGTAAGGACGCATATCACATGACCCATTGGGACGAGGAAACTGCATTAATAGAGACCGAATGTGAAAACGACTTTGGTGTTTATGTTGACGTGAACTGAAGTTCTCGGCCATTGTAAGAAGCTAATTCAAGCAACTAAACTAGTAGGCTTTATAAGAAGATCGTTCAGATATCTAGACAGTCTGTCCCTCGTAACACTCTTCAAGATTGAGGTGCTTCCCTGTTTGGAGTATCGTCACCCCGTCTGGCCCTGCAGATATGCTAGAGACTGTCAGTTGATTGAAAATGTCCAAAGGAGGTCCACCAGACTGGTTTCGGCACTATGGGACCTCAGATACCCAGAGAGATTAGAATGCCTGCAAATGCTGAGCTTATACTATAGATGGGCAAGGAGTGACCTGATTGAAGTTTATAAACATCTCAGAGGGCACTACTCAGTCAAGTGTCCATACCTGGAGCTGGCGTCCAGAAATCTGCGAGGGCAAACTTTTTCGGGGTGAGAATTGTAAACTCTTGGAACAATCTGCCAGAGAGTGTTGTGAAAACACTGAGCTCTTTCAAGACCAGACTTGACCAACATTGATGCAGGTACAGATACATTCAGGAGCCAGTGCACGCCTAGTACTTGCCAAGAGTGCATAACAGATGTTACCGAACGCCCAAGTGGCTAACGAACTGATCAGAGGTGAAGAGGATAAAAGAAAAAGGTTGATTCATAACTGGGGATCCAGACATATATGATAACTGCATTAGTACTGCTCATGCCAATGAGTATTTCTCATGCTTAATGACACACACGTACAGAATAAAACTGACTAAGATACAGGACCTTCACCCCCTTCCTCCTCCTCCCCCTCTTCCTCCTAACCCCCTCTCCTCCTCCTCCTCCTCCTAACCCTTCCTCCTGCTCCTAACCCTTCCCCCTGCTCCTAACCCTTCCCCTGCTCCTAATCCTCCCCCCTTTCTCTATTTCAAGTGCAGTCTGGCAGTGTATTTAAGGTGGACCTTGAAGGAGGAGGTGGAGGCCTAGCAAGGTACTATGAACCCTGGTGGCTGTTTTCGTACAATTATCCTTTTTCAATGATGAGGCATCTGTCGCACACCTGTGTTACTTAGAAACTCGTACCCAGGTCTGGAAGAGGAGGGTGGGGAGTCTGTTTGATCGAAGGTGGAACTCAATTCATGTGTAACTTTGCGCCCACGAACAAGAAATGGGAGTACGTACTGTGTAATTGTTCCTTTATTATTATTACTTTAAATAAGCTTTTATAGTAATTTCTTCTTATATACAGTAAATATGAAAATGTTATACAGTATACATATTCATGCAGTGGAGTAAAAGCAGTTATATTATTGCAAAACATCAAAAAGTGACCAACTCAATTTTCCTGGGTGCAGATGATAAAAAATGTGGACAGCACGAGCCAGATCTAGTTTAATATCATACGGGATTACTGTATGTGTATAAGTGCAAATGCTGAATTCTCTCCTGATCCATAGTTGACGTTTTTCAGTCCACATATGGTACTGGCACTTCTTTTATACTTGTGGAAGTCACTGGTAGGGTTCATGCCAGTTTGAGTAGTGAATGGAATGTGGGTATTTGGGAAGGTCAGTTAAACTTTATTTGCTAATGGGTGTTCATAGTTGGGCTGGGAAGTCTCTTTTCAGGGGGGATGTTTTGATATCTGAAGTGCAAAGGATTACCCGGTATATACAGGACAGGTGCAGTATACATATTTTTTTGCATTTGCTTATGGAATCCAACAGGCTTACAGCACATTATTTCTGACCATACTAAGGATAATCGATATGATATAACTACCAACAATGGGTGTCTCAGTATTGAACAATGTATGCTTAAAGGTTAGTGGGGGCCACCATAGGAAAATTAATACTGTACTGTATGTTTTCTTTTCACGTTAAAGAATTATAATAAAACAATGAAGATGGCAAAGAAATTAAATCTGGAGGAACGTTAGTTTTTTTATTCATGTACTGAAAGTCATATGGCAGCACACTACACACCAACCACCCTGAATACTGTCGAATAAATTCTTTTGCAACTGAACTGGGTGTAGCTGTCGTCTCTTTTGATCCGTTATGATTTTTTCACCTGTAAAAGAACAAAAGAGACAACATTAATTCTATGGTGCGAAACCTGAGAACTAAGAAGTGGTAAGTACTCTAGATAGGCGCCTCCGTGACTCTGATCCTTAAGTGAATTGACTGAACTGTGGTTGATGTTAATAGAAACTGACCACTGAAGGTTATAAGGTATTATCCCGAATTACGACCCTGAAAATATCAAAGGAACTAACTGGACATAATCAAATACCGCTTGCTTTCTTAAATAAATCTGGAGACTTTCTAGGATTTCCACCAGATTTTATTTTTAAACTTTGAAACAATCATAGTAGATCAAATCCTGTGATTAATATATGAAGTTTTCAACCTCTAATATTA